GAAGGGGAGAGTATCTCTTCTCATGCTACATCAAATTTTAAGCATATACCACACAAACTACTGTTATAGGCTTCAGATGCTATCTGACAACATTCCTAGCTATTGAGTTGATGAGCCATCAAGGGGATGATGGTGAGAGATTTCCCCTGAAAGACTTATAGATACATCTCTTGGATAGATCATGCACAATATCAGGGTCAGGGTCAGGGTCAGAGTAGAGTTCACTTCTGTGGTGCTTTCCTGATTCCTAAGTTAATGGAGGTATCTTAGCAGAGTGCTTTGAATGCCTTCACATATAGAATCTCAGCTCACCTTTTTATGTCTTGCGGGAAAAATCTAACTGAAGGATGATATTAAATATTAAATATAGTCACAGTCATTTGGGGACCATTTCTTTCTGTACACAAATTTTTATTAGGGCCAGGCAATTTATAAGTACAATATGATGTCACAAACTTCTTACTAATGATTGAGGAGATACCTAAGGGGAGACAGAACAGGGGCGGGAGTTTCCCATGATAAACGTCAATGAAGAGAAGAGGGGGAAATAGAGAGGAGGGAGAAAATGGAGAACTTTTGGTCTGGTTCTCCCAAAAGAATTTCCACTGAAGGTGGGATCCCTTCTCAAGACAGTGAATGTCTTTATTCTCAGCTTAGATAAACATGGTGCAATATGACTTTTGCTTCCTTGGACTTAAGACTCAGTTCCTCTATCATCTATGTCACCTTCTGAGCTATTGTGCCCCTGGGTACAAGCAGGCTTTTGGCATCCTCCAGGTGGAGAATGTGATCTCTTCCCAGTGAGCCTCTTGGGAAAGGTGCTGCTCACTAAAGTGGGGTCATTGCCTGAATGAGAAGTTGCAGGGATTAGGGGAGATATATAAATAGTTAGAAGTCATGTCTTATTATAATCCAGTCCTAGAAAGCCAGGAAGTGTCATCACCTAAGGAAATGACCAGTTTCCTCAGAGTTTGGGTAGGAAATGGGAGCTGAACAATCCATATATGCTTCCTAAATATCATACAATTAAAAAAAGAGTCTTCCCCAGATAGAGTGGACAATCAATGGAATTTATATTGTGGAAATGTCCGGGACTCTAAGCCCTGGACTTCATAATAAAAAGGACTAACAAGTAGCGAGGAGAATTTTTACTAGTAAGAAAGGAAAGAATGTATTTTCTCACTTCCTCACATTTGGTTTGGCCAAATATGTTCAAGTTGTCAGGTCAGAGTTGGGCATTTCCAACTTCTTGGCCTCTTATCCAAAAAACTGGACATTGAGAGCTTGCTCCTGGCCCTTGCAATGTACTTGGCAGCCTACTTCCTTAGTTTGCATATAGTATGCACACACAACCCTCTCCAAGCAATACACCTAACAATGTCAGAAGCCCCTCGAACTTTCACTTGCATCTGACTACCTGTGCTTTCATCCCTGAATAATAACACAGACAGAACCCTGACCAATACACTTAATAACAGTCAAATCTATACACTTTCATAAAAGTGTATTCCCAATGAATCAAGTAAAACAGACGGACAATCTTACCTAAAATGGTTTTGAGTGCATGCACAGTAAGGCAAATCCATTATTTACCATCTTATACCTATGCATAGTTGGGTGTGATTTAAATGAAAGGCATATGGAAAGGACATGAACATTGGGAAAAATAAATATATGACCTAATTTATCATTCAAAATAAAGAATTTCCCTCACTTTGTTCTTCTAAATCTCCCTGGGACCTCCAAGAGTACTCTTACTTTTGGGGGCTTCTGTCAATCTGGGCAGCATATCCCTCTATAATCTATCACTGAGCTACAAATAAAATTATCTTGTTTATTTTGCAAATCTGTAGATGTGTTTATTCGATTCTTTTAATAAGAGGCCAAGAACCTGGAAACACCAAACCTAGGATTCAACCACCATCAATACTTTTTATGAAAAAGAAGGGCAACTATAAATTCCAGGGCTGTGGGGAACACTGTTCAGAAAGACCAAGATACCATCATACTCAAACAGAGCCTAATTTGTATAATTAATAATAATTAATTAGTTGGGATCAAATGACACATTACTTTTCTGTAGTCTATTTAACTTTAACATTTAGAACATTCCTTTTTAAATGATTCAGGCTGAGTGGCAGACTTTGTACTTGTAAATGAACATAAATATACTACCTAGCTCTCTAGAAAATATTTACATAGTAATAACATTAGAAACTGCATGAATAGATTTCCAATTTTAAAAAAATCAACTCAAATTTAAGACATTTCATAATATAATCTATGAACTACAACATCAGAATTGTCCGGAAAGTTTATTTTTAGAAAGATTCCTGGATTCCACCCAAAAGATTGGTACACTGTGTATGTGTATCTACAATACCATCATTTTAAACAATTTTCAAGTATATGTTGAGTGATGTTAGTCTTGGTTGCTGTACTCATCAGGGTGTTCTTGAATAACAGAAGTGATAGGATATATGCATATTAAATGAGAATTTATTAGATGGGTTTACTCAATATGGTCTGAGTATATACATATACATATGTATACATACATATACGGTCACAGCTATAAACATACCTCCAACACCATCTGTATCACACCAGAAAAAACAGTAGTTGCTCAGTCCATGAGGCTGGACCCTTCAGCAGTCTCAATATGGTACCAAAGGCCTGGAGGATTTCTAGAGAGCTTCTGATGTTCAGTCCGTGTTGAAAACCCAAAAAAGCAAAGGAATCAGCAGTAGCAGACATAGAGTGGATGAATGTGCCAGGAAAGGTGAATGCAAGTTGGCAAAAGCAAAACTTTTTTTCTTCCATGTCCTTTTATCTGGGATTTCACCAAAAGATGCCACCCACACTTAAAGGTATCTTCCCATTTCAAACAATATGATCTAGAAATATCTCAAGGAATGCTCAGTTCCAGACCCAGCCAGGCTGACAAACAGGATTAGGCATCACAGCTATCAACCTGACTTGGTCTTGAATTGACTAAGAGACAAGCCTCTGGGCAAGATTATTTCCTGAAAGGGTTAAGTCAGTAGAGAGAACTTCCCCAGAATGGACAATGCCTCCTAGTGGCAACCCAGATATAAGGAGGTCCCATGGAAACTGCTGTTTCTGTCTGCTCATTTTTAATCCTTGCTGATCAGTGTATCTCCTCTGTTGCTGATATGGCTCCTGCCATCTTACAATGATATTGGAAGCTAGCTTCTTTGGCCTTCCAATATAGACTGATGACCAGGAGCCTTCCAGGAATCCTCCAGGCCTTCAGCACCACACTGGGATGCTCAGGCATCAGCCTCATTGACTAAGCAGCTACCAGGTTCTCAGCCTCTCTAGTGTGTAAACATTATTGGACTACCCAACCAATATTGTGTAAACCAATCTAATAAAACCCTTAATAATATAGATTCATTCTATTAGTTCAGTTCCTCTAGAGAACTTTTTACTAGTTATGTACAAATTATATACACAATATTTTGAAAATCACAGCTATAAAACAATAAATTCTTATTATATATCTTAAGAACAAAAAGTTTCTGAGTTTAAGAACATACCTCCAATATATTTACTTATAAACAGTATGGATACATAAATATATATACTCTTCTACAAATACAAATATTAGTATATTAAATATAAAATGAAAATTAAAAAATGAGAAAATGGCCTCATATTTCAATATTTCCATCAGTTCCACAAAAATACAAGTAAGAATTGAGGATACTTTTCTAAGTTGGAAAAAAAAAACATTACGAAGAAAGAAGGATGAAGAATAAAATGACAGAAATGCAGAAATGTCAATTCAACAGCCAGAACTTTTCTAGAAGTTTACACTGCTTCAAAAAAAAAAAAAACAAAAAAAAACCAGGAACAGAAACATGCATTCCAGTATACTGAAGAAGCAACCAGGGAGCTTCAACAGAAGGTAATTCTGATCATCAAAAGGGAAGTACCACTGATAAACTGGACATACAAGCAACATCAGGAAAAGCCAATTGCAATATTTTAGGAGTCTACAATAATCAAAGACAGTAAAATTTGGCATAGTCTGACAAGTATCACCAAGTCTAACAAAAAAAAGCAGATATTGTTAGAATGATACCAGGACTAGACAACGCAAACAAGAATACAGCCAAAGTCATCAAAAATGTTACATAGGTTATATGAGCCTGATTCCAGTAAAGAAATGAGGAAATGAAGAGATATCCATATGTTTAGCTCCTCATTTAGGAAATATAATGAAATCCATTTAATAGGAAAGCAAGTGTGTTAATCACTGTGTTAAATGCCAGGGGACTACTGCAAACTAAATGTGTGATGAGGAGTACCAGCATCACTCCACTGTTTCTAATGACCACAGAGAGGCTCCATAATCTACAGTTAAATGACTGAGCATCCCTACAGGGCAATATTGAAGTATAAATGGTAACTCTCAACTTATTCCGGAACACTTCCTCTACTCTGGCAAAGTCATCTCAGGTTTTCAAGAACATGCTGCAATTATATAATGGGGAAAACTGAGTCAGTCTAAGGAGTTCCCTCTCCCGACATCTGTTGAGTAAAAAGCCAAAGGTGTGGCATACTTATATACAGTCTTATCTAGTGTATAATCCATAGTTTTCTCCTACCTGCCAAGTATTCATATGTCAGAATATGAGCAAGATTCCAGCACTTGGAGGAAGGGGAAAAGATCAGGAGTTCAAAGTCATCCACAGCTACATAGCAAGTATAAGGTCAGCCTGGACTACAAGAGACCCTGTCTCATACATATGCATCATATACATACACATGTCAGCAGGAGAAAGACTGGTACATACTTGAGGAATCTGGCATTTCTTGTTATAAATCCAGTAATTATAATATTGTAATTATGACAGTCATTTGGAAATCAAACTAATATTTTGGGGGCATTGACAGTTTAAAACTTTATATTTAAGAAAAACAAATCAAAGAAACTCAAAACTCATGAAAAAAATTATTTGAGAGCTCACCTTTCCACGACCAAGCTGACAGTTTGAGTGAGATCAGGATTTGTTGCCTGGAGACGTTTCCACAAAGACCATACAAATTCTTTGTCAGCCTTAAGGAAATAAAAAGCATTTTAAGTATGTTGTTTCTATTGATAAGAGATATTATGTTAAATTTAAATATGGAAAAACAACTATTTTACTGCTACTTCTATAATTATTCCAATGAATCCTTTAAAAGTACAGCAGGGAGAGACTGGAGATGGCTCCGTGGTTAAGAGCACTAGCTGCTGCTCTAGAGGACACACTTGAAGGCCCAGCATCCACATGGTGGCTTCCAACCACGTGTAATCCCAGTCCCAGGGAATCTGATGCCCTCTTTTTGCTTCCTTGAGCACTGAACACACATGATACACAAATATACAAGCAGGCAAAATACCCCCACACACAAAAGTCACTTTAAAAAAACTATTTAAGAGTATGGTAGGAAAGCCTTATTTTAAAAATTCCCCCATGGGATGGTGTTGATGATCACCTTTAATCCCAGCACTGCGGAGACAGAGGCAGGTGGATCTCTGTGAGTTCCTGGCCAGCCTGATCTACAGAGTGAGTGCCAGGACAGGCTCCAAAGCTACATAGAGAAACCCTGTCTCAAAAAAACAAACAAACAAACAAAAATATACTAATAGCCTACCCTCCAATACTGGTATTGTTGCCACTCATATTTTGTGATGCAAATTCTGAAACACCAAAATAAATGTAGATTTACTCTAAGAGGAAGAAACTGCCCTTCATCTGCAGCTCTGTCTTCCAGGTCCCTGAACCTCACAACCCCATGAAATAACTACCCCAGCTGCCTACACTTTCCTACCTCATTCACTCTGCATTTCTTTCAATAAGATTCCCTTCCTGGGGAAAAAAGCCTGAGGAGCCCTTACTCCTTTCTGAAAAGCTGTGGACAGTTGATGGCTTCACGGAACGGAACATTTTAAGGGTGTGGTCTCTGGAAGATCAACCATGCTACAATAGATGGGCCCACAGAGGAGCAGGAGCACATGGGCAGCAAAAATTGGGCTCAATGTGTTATTTTAAGAGAGTGAAGGAGAAAGAGAAGGAGAGACAGAAACATGGGGTGGGGAGGTAGGGTGGATCTAAGAGTTAAGGGGAGTAGGGAAATGAACATGATCAAATACATTGTATAAAATTCACAAAGAATCAATATTTTTTAAAAATGAAAAGGCAAAAAGGAAACCATCGATTGAAAGGAAATATTTATCAAAGATAAATCTAATACTTCTATCCAAAATATATCAAGAATTCTTAGAAAGCAGCCATTAAAACACAAGGTGATTCTAAAAGCAACAGAAACTCTAAACAGATAAATCGCCAAAGAAGGTTGCATGGAGCACATAACTTTCCCTCTATACCAACACATTAACATCTCCCGTCATCTTCTACCCTGCCTAATCCAATGGACAGTTTCAGACTTACTGGATATATCAGTTATAATTGATTCTGCTTAACAGGAATCACTTTGGGAGCTTTAAAAAAAATAATAATGACCCAAAGGCTCTGGTTCAAGCAGAACAAGGAAGTCAACCTAAGGATACAGGAGCATGATACTCTTGGAGAGGTGGGTGTGAGACAAGATGACATGCAGTTTTAGAGTTGGGGTTATTTGCCAAATCTAATGGAAATCTGTTGGAGAATTTTTGACCTGTGAATCTAAGAGCTTCTTGTAGAGACATGAACATGCCTTTGGGCATGGAATACCATCATCCAGGTCTTCACATAGATTATTCCCTCACTTGATTCTAGGTTTACTTAACTATCACCTCCTCAAAAGAAGCTGTCCTTGGCTGTTTATAACTAATGCTCAAGTCTATTAAACCATGGTCCTATTGCGTTTTTTATTAGGGTTTGGGAGACACACTTTCAATACGGTTTGTGTCAAGGACCACTTTTGGGAGTTGTTTCTTTCCTTCCACTGCGGGATCTTGGTATACAGCAGCACTCTTGCCCACTAAGTCATCTTGACAGCTTCCCTTGTTTGCTTTCTATTGCTGTGATAAAGACACTATAACCAAAAGAAACTTTGGCAAGGAAATGGTTTATTTGGCTTGCATATGTGATCACAGTCCATCATTAAGGGAGACAAGGAGGGCAGGAACCGGGAGGCAAGAACTGAAGCACAGGCTGTGTAGGAATGCTGCTTACTCGCTCACTCAGCCTGCTTTCCTATAAACCCAGGAACACTAGCCTAGGCTCTACCCACGGTGGTCTGGGCTCTCTTATATTGGGATTGATCAAGAACATTACTCTATTAGAATATAGCTTCTAACTATGTGAGGAACACAACTACAAGATGCATTCTCAAGTCTTTTTGGTGTTTTGTTTTGTTTTGTTTTTAATACCTGGACAAGGCTTCAACATAGCTAAATATATGGTAGTTACAAAATACAACTTAGTTCTCTGGGCAAATGTTCTAATTCCCAATACCATATGTTTTCAAAAAGTTTATCATTAAATTTAGTAATGAACATATATGTCTGTTACTTAAATGCCCTAATTAATTTTCAACTGAAACTGACTTATAGTTAATAAATGTTATTGGTTGCTCCAATAACCCCCTACACACACACACACACACACACACACACACACACACACACACACACTTTATAAATCCAACATCATTTTTTTCATTTGCTAGTCTATAAATGGTGATAAATGTGTATATACACATACTACCCTGCATTTTGTCACAAACAGGATATAGTCTTGAAAGACTTCATAAAAACAAATAGGCTGGAAGTAATCTCTATAAACAAATGAAATAAGGCATAAAAACTTCATGAAAATCCCTTTAAAATGTCTTAGGATAGTGCTCCATTTTGAAGTTACTCCCTTCAATTAACAAAATAGACAGCTTTCCACTCATTTATTCTGCCTTTCTTCTGCTGACCTAGAGACCACATGTGTTCCAGGGAGTTGAGATATAAAATGAGTTTCTTACTTGGGCTGTGATTTCTAACATTTTGATACTCTATATTCTCAGGTGCTGTGATGTATGGTTAATAATACGTAGAATTCACATAAAGAATCTAACTGTTTAACTTTGTTACAAAACAACTAGGAGTTTAATTATTTTTCCCTAGTCTCTCTAAGAGCAGGAATCTGGTCTGGCTATAATCTTGGTGATGAGGGATACTGCCAACCCCATTACTGGAATTTATTGTAATGTCTCTGATCATCTAACAGTATTAATATTATCAAATCTCAAGAAATGCCATTCTAAGCTAGTTAGGACCATTTCTATTTCTTACATCTGCCTCAAGTACTGCTATAATATCCTAGTCCAGGTATGCCCAAGGTAAAAAAGGCCAATGTCATACTGGGAGCCATATTTTTAAGGTTATAAAAGCGGGAGTAAAGTAATGGGAAACTGTAGAATAGTCGGGTAGTGTCTAGATTGTTTCTTTAACAAAAGCCTTTAGCATGAGCACACATCTTTAAATCCCCCAGGGTGAGGTTTACAATAGACAAAACACTTTAGTTCATGGCTATCTTTTATTTATCCCTTTGCTCTTTTGCCAGAGAATGGAAAATGAGAAAACAAAAAAGGGGCAGTCAGATAATTGCTCCCCAATTATTTAACCAAAGCTATATTCAAATTAAACAAGATTCTGTTGTTTTTAAAGCAAAGACCTATAAGATGGGTTGAGAGAACCCAACAGAGCATACTATAAGAGAATGAGCAAGGTTTTACTGATCTGAATTAATAATAATGCTCGAAAAGCTTATCTCTCTGTTGGCAGTTCCTAATCTCTTATAATAGTGATTGTATTTTTTTTTTTAAAAAAAAAGACCTGCAATTAACTGACCTCCTGGTTCCTAACTAAAGGTTCTGGCCAAATCTTAGCCCCATCCCAGCCCCCCCCCCAAAAAAAGTCCCTTGCACTAAAGGACAGGCAATCTTGCTTTAGTTTACACAAACCCTAAAAGTAATTTGGAAAGTAATTTGAGTGCAACTAAGTTAATAACTGCTTTCCTCTGCCAAGCTCACGTGAAAGTATTTGGTATTCGTGATCTATGGGATCCTTCTCAGTTAATAAATGAATGGGGAGCATTCTATGTGTGAACTCCCCAGTCCTGGGGCTTTCAAAAAACTGAGATTGTGTTTGGAACTGAAGTATAACAATGTAAGAACAAGGGTAAGTGTGGGTTTGACATTTAAAAGCGGGCTACTTCATGGGTGAAATTTTATTTTTTTGTGACACGCTCCTGTTTGTTCCAATTCATGAATGCGCTCCACTCATGGGCACTAGGTACTAGACACCACCAGGAACTTGGGCTTGGAAGAAGGCGCCTTTAGAAAGCATCTATCAAAAGGACACCCAGCTCTGCAGAGGGACAGCGCCTGTAGCCCAGGCGATGGGCAGAGCCTGCCTCCCAGGCGATGGCCGAGCCTGGCGTGGAGCCTGGAGGGCGCGTCCCGGGAGGGCTCCCTAGATGCCCGGGCCGCGGGCGAGAGCACGGGGCGGCGGCGGTGAACGGGAAGGCCGGCGGCCAGTCCTGATACCTGACACAGGGCTAGCTCCTCCTTTAGGCTGCTCAGCTCTTCCTCCAGCAGCTGCGTCCGAGTCGCCTTCGCCTCCGCAACGGAGAGGCCCTCTGGCCGCCAGGACCCCGAGGGCGCGCCGGCGACCGGAGCGATTGAGGCCTCGGTCCTCCCCGGCCCTCGCCGGCCCCCTGCCCCTTCTTCGGCCCTCCAGACTAAGTCGCTTTTATCCGCGAAGATCTCCCTCGCGGCGTCCGTCAGACCCGAGGCCTCGCTGCGCACGGCGTGCACCTCGGCTCCGTGCCCGGGGCATGGGGACCGGCGGGCCGGCGGCCGTCCCGGGGGTGGAAGCAGCGGGGAGGACGGCGAGCGCGCCGCCATGGCCGCGGCGCCTAACGGGTCAAGTTCCCGCTTGAAAACTCCACCTTCGCTTCCCCATCCTGGAGGAGCCCGGCCTGCCGGTCTACGCATGCGCACAGCTTTTCCCGCCTCGTCCCGCCCCCCCA